CCTTGAGCAAATGGAATTTCCAAATTATCATATGATCAAAATTACTTTGTAACGTGGATTAAAGAATTGGATGCCCACTTGATAATATTCATGTAAGATACATTGGTCAACCTATTTAATTTAAGTTCCATGTCATCTTAAATAGGCAACCCCTTTGTATATGCTCGTTGTACGTGACCCTAGGAAGATTCAATGTGCTTAGAAGTAGGTGGTTGAGTGAACTCAGATAAATTATGAATAAATGAAGGCCCAAAGAAAAATAGAAAAGTTGTAGTAGGAATCTGGGGAGGATTAATATTCTCATTACCATAAATTTGATATTCATATAATGTGTTAGAATTCTCCCTTTGAATAAGAATTTTGGGTAAAAAAGATGATTTTTAATAGAATGTTACACCCATTGAGCTATAAAATTTTCAAGTAGAGTGTGAATACCCATTAAAGAAAAATAGAAAAGTTGTAGTAGGAATGTGAACAAAGCATAGCAATCAAAGACCTTCAGGGATATAGTTGAAATGATTATGGTTATCAATGTTATTTAAGTGTCAAGTAAAATGAGATGCACAAGTGTTTTCATTTGTTTTGATGCTTAAAGTGCAAAGCGAGCAATGATTTTGCTAACTTAAGCATTAATGAGTTGTATATCATATACACACATATATTATATGCATATAATAGTTATTTATTTAACCAAACTTAAATCATAAAAAGAAATAATATTTTAGTAAATATAATGATAAATTAATAAAAATAATCTATAGTTATTCAGAATCAAAAAAATAATCAAATAATAAATAACATAAAAAAAAATGAAGTGACGTAAGAATATTTTTAAAAATCAAGAATATACTCATGAGAATGAGTGCTAACCAGAGAGTGAGAGTCATAGATAGTGTTAAGCGAGAGATAGTGTGAAGATGAGGCATCAAGAAACATTTTTTAGAAGAGGCTACGAGTGAAATTAATAGTACCAATAAAAAGAACTAGTGAGAAGCATATAAACACTAGCAGAGGAGCGAGCATGAAGAGAAGAACCACTAAAAGCGACCAGCTTAAGCAAAGAATGGACATCTGATGATCAATGACTCAATGAATATGCATGGTTATTGTGGAAAATATCAAATCGAACCATGGAAATTGAACAAAAATTTTGCTCTTAGCAAGAGCCACACAGTGCTACGACACAATAAGGCGAAGCAGTGCAACACAAATGCTTTACTTGGAGCTTACCCTTCACAAGTGGCGTCCAAACCTAACACGTTGCTTTGCTTTGCTCCTAAATCACACTTGTAACAACACTAATGATCATAAGATAAGCTTGTGAAAGAATTTGTCAAGGAGTCCTAAATTTTAAAATTCTAACTGGTATGCGATTAATTTGTTATGCAACAATAAGAGCAACCACCCCCTATAATATTTTGAAATACTACTTGTGATCATAATCGATCGACTGCTTCCAAGAGAAGCCCATTTTTCCTTTTAGTTATCCCATTTTATTAAAGGGTATTAATACAAGAGCTCTGATGAACAATCCCTTTTCCAACTACAATCTCCAAAAATGGAATGAAATTATTATCAATAATTGATAATCTTAATGACTTAGATTTGGATTTGGAACTGACTTTGTATCATAAATTGAAACTTGAACAATATCCTTTTGAATAATCTTCCAGTACTTGGTTGCATCACTTGACATTCACAATCAAATACTTCAAATAAATTTAGTTGTCGTCAATATCAAGTGAGAATATTGTAGTATTTATTAATAGAATGACAACCCTATTGAAGATCATGAAGAGCTCTTTTGATTATAAACAGCTCCAAAAGTATTTTAATTATCAAAGGAAGTCTCCTAGTAGACATCCTAGATCTCTTTAGCAGCTACATAGAACACAAAATTTTATTGTCTCATGATCCTTAGTATTGATTAGCTAGAACATCGCCATATTATTTTCAGCTCTCCATATTATAAACATTGCATCTTCTTTTTATGAAGGGATAGCAACTCTATTGAGATAGTCATCTTTGCCTCTTCCGTTCATGAACATTATTACTAATTGTGCAGAATAAAATTAGTTTTTTATGTTCAATTTATGTCCAATAATAAGATGATTGGTGAAGTTTCCTAGGCCACCATTGTTGTTATGAATCATTGCTTCACAATAAGAGGTGACATCAAGATTGTAATTTCTATTAAAAGTCATTCCATGATTAACCATAATTAGGCTAAATAGAGAAAATAGAATTCAAGAAATGTTATGATAACAAAAACAACATCAAAAATTTATCCCCCAATATGGTGTTGGCTACATGAATCTTTTCTCTCCACTGTGTTCTGTTAAAAGTCAAATTCTCAATTAAATCTAATAAATAAATGTTATTTTTAATATTTTCTAACCAAGTCTTTTTAGGTCTACCTCTAAGTCATCTACCTTTCTTAGCATAGGTCAAATCTATTATATCTACTCTTCTAATCGGGTCATTGGAAGGTCGATGTTTCATATGACCAAACCATTCAAGACGAGTCTCTCTAATCTTCTATGCCACTGAAGCTACTCCAACATTTCGTATATACTCATTTCACATTCTACTTTAATAGTGAAGCCACTCATCAACATGAGCATCCTCATCTCTGCAACACTTAATTTTATGTTTATCTTTTAATGGACAATATTTTGGGCCATAGAGAATTGCAAGTCTCACCATCATCTTATAAAATTATCCTTAAGTTTGAGAGATGCTTTTCCATCACACAACAATCGGATGCACTCCTACACTTAATCCATCAAACTTGAATTATACTAATAATACCCCCATTTATTTCACCATCAATTTGAACAATAACCCGAGATATCTATAAAAGTGTAATCTTTTTAATAACGTGATCGCCCAAAGTCACAATCCTCACATTAGATCTATTACTGCTAACATTACACTCCATGTATTCGGTTTTAGATCTACTCAAACAAAAAACCTTTCGACTCTAAGGTTGACCTCCATAATTCAAGTTTCCCTTCCACTCCCTCTTTAGTCTTATCAACAAGAAGAATATCATTAGCAAGAGGCATACACTAGGATAAATCCTCTTACAAATGTCCAGTAAGAACATCCATGACTAAAGCAAAAAGATATGGGCTTAAAGTTAATCCTTGATGTAATCCACCTTGTGTTTGAACTTTGAACACAAGTAATAGCTCCTGCATATATATCCTTAATGACTTGAATATAAGCATTATTACCTCATTTCTTTTCTAGAACTCTTCAGAGCACTTCTCTTGAAACTTTATCATATGTTTTCTCTAAATTAATAAATATCATATGTAGATCTTCCTTGTTCTCTCTATACTTCTCCATCAAACCTCTCTATAAATATATAGCTTCCATAGTATACCTACCTAGCAAGAATCCAAACTAATTTTGAGAAACATTAGTATCACCTTGTAACCTATGCTCAATAACTCTCTCTCATAATTTTAATGTATGACACACTAAATTAATTCTAATATAATTTGTACACTTTTGTGCATCACATAAATAAAAAATAGAGAAGAGAATATATTATCTCTTTATTTCATAAACAATAAGAAAATATCATACAAAAGTAGTCCCAAAGCTAGAAGTTCGTCTCAACAAAAAAATAAGAAGCTCAATAATGCTAAAAAAAGAAAAGAACAATATAATCATAATGCAAGAACTCCTAAACAAATAATTGAGATAATGAATGCATATTGATTTACTCCATACAAAATTAATTAGCCATATATAGACAGAGATCCATGATACCTCGGAAGCAGAAAAAAGTAAAATGAATAGTTGGATAACCCCAGCAACAAAAAATCTACACGAGAATTGTAAAAAATCATTATTGATGACAAGAAAACATGTGGGAACATAGATGCTAGAAAATGTTGACAAATGCATATCTCTTGGATCCATATAGCAGGTGAAATTAGAACTAAAACATTGAAATATATCATGATGAATATTCGACTTCATTTCAGGACATCAACACATGAAATTTGTTCATCTGTTTGAGTTTTTCATCAAATGAATAGAACTTTATGATTTTCTCATGAATACATGTGAACAGTAGTTTCTTGTGAATGGCCTATGAACAGCATAGGATAATGGCTAGGTGTTCGAGAAGAGAATACAAAGAGAAAGAGTGAGGTTTGGAGGGGAAAAATAAAAGAAAAGAGAAAAATTGAAAAAGATAAAAAATAATAAATAAATTTCAACTTTGCTCTTTTTTATAATTGTGAAAAACTGTCTTGATGTGATGTCAACCAAAGTGGCAATATAAATAACCATAAAATTCCAAAGGCAAGCACGATAGCACCATTTTCAAGAGCACAAGTAGTGAATTTCAAGTATTATTCGATCTTTTATTATCTCTCATCTTTGTTCTCTTAATGTCTAAGGGATTCAAAGCTTGTACTTTAGGTGAGATTGAATATACTTAGATTTGAGGAATACATTTTTTTTCTATTTTATTTGAATATTTTTACGGCTTCTTTATAGTGGATCAGATCCTCTCACCTTTTCCATAGATATAGACTTGATTTGGCTAAACCAAACAAATTTAGTCTTCTTTTGGTGCTAGGTCTTCTTGTTGTAATTTTGTGAGTTTTTTATATTCACTCATAGTTGGTGCATCCAAGTAAAGCAATCAAGTTTATCCTAAGACACTACAGTGGGTATGTAATATAAGATGATCCATTAAGCTGCAGATTTTTCCCAAGGAGCATGGTTGTATATGAAATCAGGAAAGACATCAAGAACCAAGAAAAGAAGTATCCAAATTTTTCCCATTAGCCAATGAGGTGTGTGAAATGCTATGGCCTTGCCTTGACCAAGCACCCGGGTGCCACATGGCCTGCCTTTAATAACACTAAACAAACGCAGATTGTTTAATAGCTAAACATCTAAAACAATTTATTTAATGTTGCATAAATTTCCTACAACAGTATACATATGAAATGACAAAAAGTAAGTATTACCAGGAGAAGGAGTTGGTGACTCAAACCATGTAAAATTAAGAACTTTGTAGCCTCCAATTACATTAGGATCAATAAAAACTTTATGCAAAGTAAGTGAGTTATTCATTGCATGAACTTGAGCGGCAGAGAAACTTATCCCAGTATGTGGGGCAATGTCCATGGTGATATTTAGCCCTGACAAACCAACAACATAGAAGTTATCAATCTCAAATTGAGTGACTTGCAGATTAAGCTGAGACGCTAGTTTTTCCAGAAATTCATTGCTCCAATTTGATCTCTGAGAAACATTCCAAAGGAACAGCTCTACTTTTACAGGATAAACACAATGACAATCTCGAGTACCTCGTCTCTGGACCGTGTTTGGCCCACAGCATCCTGTTGCAAAATATGAACTAAATAAAGGTCAAGTCAAATAAATAATCACAAAAACAAAGGTTCTATTGCATAAAAAAAGTGATGTCAGAGTCAGGTTCCACTTATGGAAATCAGATGCTACATGGAATGTATAGCTTAAACTTGCTCCTAATTGCATTGCGCATATAAAACAAAGCAAAGAGATACAATAGCAAGTCTACCAGAATTAGTAATGGTGTTATTTCTTTTAAATGTTCCGGAACCGGCATGGCATGTAACATTCAGTTTGATTAAAGTAGCATAAACCAATTTCATATTGATATGAGCTCATATAACAATCTCATGGTTTTCTGTGAAACTTAAGCTCACCTGAATGATGAGAAATCGGAGGCTCTGCTAAACTAGGTGGAACTGAGCTGACATTCGAGTCAATGCTAGAATTTTGCCCCACAGGAGAAGGTACACTCATAGATGCTGGAGAAAGGAGTTGGCTCTGTTGCATTATTCGTTTATACAAGTGTAATGAACTTGAAGAAGGTTCACCAGTGGTTGTTAACGAACTAAGAAACGGAGTGGCAGAGACCATATTCGGTGGAGACGCAACTTCCAATGGAAAATTGCTCCTCAGTCCTCTACGAACAAGATGAAGACCTGTAGTCAATGGAAATCTGGTGGATGGTATAGTACGTAAGTACACGGCAGATTTGCTGCTCAGCGGAGTACCAGATGAAGTTACAAAAGCTGTTTCAAACTCCGAACTAGGCATTAAATCCTCAGTTGTGACTTGTACCAAAATCAATAATGTCATATAACTTAGCAGTAGCAATCCAGGCGGTAGTCTCAGCAATTCTGCAAGCACGACAAAATTAAGCATGCGATAATTGTATCCAAAGTATTCACTAATCACTACATAATGGTTCAGAATAACATTCATCTTTGAAGTATGACAGAAAAAACCATGGCACTTGACAATTTACTTCTATGAAAGAAGAACAACAACCCACTCATAGCCATAAGGAGGCAAAGGACAAAGGATTAAAGTAACAAAAATAATCTTTACGCACATAAGAATGCAATTTAAATTAATAACAATGCTTGAAAATCGGCATCCAGAGAGAACATGATCAAAGATAAGGGAAAAAAATTATTTACCTTGATCTCCGATTCAAACATACAGTTCGTCCAACTTCAAAAATACTCAAAACTAATACTAAAGAATTTCCATTACAAAAAATACTGAGCGTCAGGGTCCCATTCATTGCATAAATAGCTAGCTAAAAGCAGCATTGAGAAACAAATAGCTTCCACACAACATTAAAAAAAAAATTATGTACAAACCAATACAAACAAACAGTTGCGGCACAGCAAGGTTTCAATGGGGATTAAAAAAAGATCTCATAATTAGGATTACCAAACATCTCATTCTAAATAGCAGAGAAGCAAAGAAAACGCATGAAACCAACTCTAATCTATCAATCCCGTAGTTCACATTAAAAGGAAAGAAGACCCATCCATCTGAAGAGTCTAATCTCACAAGAGCCCTCAATTTACAGATTCGCATACCACATCTCAGAAACGCAGTTTTCCCTTTAAATAAACAACAAATAATCAAACCCAGCGAGAAAAAAAAAATGCATCGACTGAAATTATAAGCTCTGGCAACTGTACCTCCTAGGCCACGAATCTGAGAGTTCCCCATCCCCTGCCCTGTTAGTTAATAAAATAGTCAGATCTGGACAACACAGCGATCGGCGGAGGCAGCATCAGTGCCGCCAATGGGTCCTATCTAGAAGCTGCAGCCACGGGCAGCGGCTTGCTGGGTAAGATTGAGCAGGGGCGAGATCGAGCGATCTGGAGCTTTAAGCAGCCAACTTGGAGTCCTCTGAAATCGGGATCTGGCCTGGGCTGTCGTATTCCAGTCCATGGAAGCTAATTTCGAAGTGGTAATAGCTAGGGTTTTGCGATTCGTTGTTTTTTATCGCCCTTTTCAATTTTTCTCGCTTTTTCCCTCCATCTCTCTCTCTCTCTCTCTGTCCTGCTGTTCAAGGTTTGCCTTTTTTTTTTCCTTGATTTCTTTTTTAACTTTTCTTTATATATATATATATATAGTTATAAGTCAGAGAGCCAAAACTGGCCGTGTGCCACTAAAATATAAGAAGCTGTGAAGTGATGGTTCTAGTAAAAAAGAGATAATGGCTATTAAGATACGGTAGAATAAAAATATTCAGGGCAACTCCAATGGAACGGCAATTGCTTGTTTGTCGTTTTTGTTTTGCTCTAATTGACCGTCATTTTTTATGTCATTTGATCGCGGATGAACAGTGCGACGTCAATATTGGCGTTGCACTGTTCATCTGAGCAATTCTTTTATCTCTACCAAATTTTGGGAAGAAAGGCGTGAATGAAGATAACGACGGCTTACGGGGCAAAATGGCATTTGATTGGAGATGATTCAGTGCATTTTGGAGTGAAAAATGAAATTTTCTGTTGGAGATGCCCTTAGTAAAAAAATTTGGATGAAACCTATTGAAACAATTATAAGTACTTGCTAAATACTCATAAAAATTATCACTACTTAATGCTGTTTAGGAAAGAATATTTTAACTTAGAGAAGGTAATTAGATGTTTATTTAAATCTTAGGATGCAAAATTTTTTGCAATTACTTAAGTTAAAGAAAAAAATGGCAAAGATAAAGAAAAGATAAATAACAAAGGTTGTGGAAATAAGAATCACATCGAAAATAAAATTTTTTGGACTAATTCTGATATTAATTCAATAATCACATAGCCAGAAGATCAGATAAGTAATCTCTATTTAATCGTCGTAGATGATCAATATGATTTTGATCTTGAATAGATATATGATTTCATTTATGATGAACTATTAAAAAACTAATATCTATTGTTAATATTGGAAAATAGTAATTATTTTAATTCAAGAATATATATTAGTGTAGTTTAAAATAAAACTAAGCATTAGTCACCTATGTGAAAGAGGATTTGAAATGAATTTTTTTTTCTTTATAGCATTTACTTAAATTAAATAAAATAATTATTTTAATAGGTTTAATAATGAGAATGTAGGAATGCCTTTCATAGTGTATAGTTTACAAATAAAATTTATTGAGAATGGTCAACTATGTGAAATAGGATTTGAAATGGAAATATTTTTTCATCATCACCATTGCTTAAATTAATTGAAAAAATTATTTAAAAGGCTTTAATTATGTGAATGTAGGAATGCCCATGATAAATCATGATCATAATTGAGTATCTAAATATTACTCTTGATAAATCATGACTATCGCAAAAAATTATAAAATTAAAATTAGTTAAGAGGATTGACTAAATTAGAATTTTTAATGATAATTTGTGTAGATCATGCCCACCGAAAAAATAAGCTAAAAGTTCATTTCAATCGATGAGAAGGAAGTCACATCTTGGTTTCTAGAGATTTTATATATGAATTTATTTGCATCAATCAACACCATCAATCTAAGTGGCAAGTCCTATTATTTTTTAATTATGGATGATTGCATTAGTTTTATATGAGATATTTTAAGCACACAAAAATGAATACATTGAAGAATTTAAATCATTTTCTATATGGTTCAAAGGAGCATATGATATTTAGTAGCTATAATCCATAATGACATAATAGGGAGTTTGAAAATGAGAATTTTAAAATGTGTTGTAAACAATTTTGAATAAAACACAATTTACATCCCCTAGGACACCTCAAAAAATAATAAAATTGAGAAGATAAATAAATAAAACTTTGGTTAAACTCATTTTATTTTGAATGAATATAAATTAACAAAGTTTTCAAGGTTGGGAGAGCATCTTATGTGCTTAATTAAGTAAATATATGGATATTGGTATCAATTCTGGCAATGTTTGAATCAATAGCTTAACGAGCCTTCATGGCTAATTCCTGGAAATTGGTCTTTTATTAAGTTTGATCGCATCTATTTTATATTACTAGGGTCTTTACATGACCTAAATTGGCTCAATGAGTTCTTGTATGACTCAAGTCAACTCACAATTATCTCTTTCATAGTTATTAAAGGTCTAGTGGACCTAATCATCACAAGCCTTGGAGTTGGGTCTTTCCTACTGGGTCAATCGGATATCTAGCGTAGTCTAGAATTATCCTTGGTGTCTCTCGTGATTCCTTCTTGCTAAAAAGAAAAACAAAAATAAAATCATTGGTGTCTCTCTTAGGACCTACCTTGGTTCCTTCGGTCATAGTTTGAGTCTAGTCACATAAGGACTCAGATAAAAGTGGAAGCAATGGACCAACATTGGGATAACCTTAATTCAAATCTAGGTTTAACCTAGGGTTAATGGGTCAAACCTAAGTTTAAGGGATCCTACCACCCTAACCCTAGCTAGTGAAGTACTCTGATAGGTACCATAGGGACTTTATAATAAGTTTAACCACTTAAACTCCCAATACGCCATGTAGGTTAACCTTAGGCAATACATCAAAGCTTTATCTCTCATTAAGCTTACTTTGATCAAACATGATCCCTAGCCCATTATAGGCCTACCCATGCCCACCCTATGGCCATGGACTAGACTACACCATAAGAGATCAGTCGAGGCTAGTAAGTACACTTAGGATCCATAAGTTAAAGCCCTTAATGACAAGTACATTTTAACTATTTTGCATATCTTCAATAAATGCAGTTGCTCAAATTCTGATAAAATTTTCTTCACTACTTCATATATAAGATTATGCATTTCACATTCCTAATTTTATCCACCCTAAAATAAAAGGCTGGTTCCGCCCCTATATATCCATGAAATATAATAATTTTTTATTTATTTTTAACAAAATGAACGTAGGTGAATCCACAAACAAATATGCTGACATTATTTTGTCAAATAATAGTTAATAAATTTATCATAAAATTTATTTCATCCAAATACACTGAATTGATTTACAAATTAAAACATTTCATAAAATATGATTGGCAATTTCTTGTGGATTTTGATTAAAAATAGTGAAAAATAGAAGAGATTACCATTCATAATTTAAAATACATAGCAATCAACCTGAGTTTTAAACTCCATATAATTTTCATATGCAGTAAAACTATTTTCACACATAAAACAGATGAAAGCAAAACTACTAGCACACATATTGACGTTTTATTTGTTCACAAAATAGCATTGGAACAAAAATATCGCTCATTATCTCAAACAATATAACCTTTTGAAGGATGAATAAAAAACAATATCAGTTTTAATCTCCACAAATCCTTCTTATATATGATTTCATTTTCACATACGAAATTAATGAAAAAAAAATTATAAAACATGTTGAATTTATAATCACACACATAATTAGGGGTGACATTTCGGGTCACAGGTTGGGTTTGGGTCGAACTCGGAACTAAACCGGGTTCAAACGGGTCAACCCTAACCCGACCCGGGTATGTAAACGGGTCGGAAACATGGACCCGGACCCAACCACGTCGGGTTGCCGGGTTGACCTGACCCGACACGTACCTGAAACGCACTGACGCTGGCGGGCGAGAGCGGGCGCATGCGAGAGCGTGCAAGCTGGTGCGTGCGGCGAGCGCGGGCGGGTGCGCGGGTGCGCGCAGAAGCGTGTGTGGGCAGCCTCGGGCGCGGGCATAGGCAGGCGTGACAACGTGAGCTGGCAGGCTCCAAAAATAACACTTGATTTATAATCATTATCAATGCTATTTACATCCTATTAAATAAGCCTTAATCATAAATTCTAAAAACACATTTGAAACAAGTATTTCTATACTCCCAAAAAATTCTACACAAAATTATTTGGTTAAGTAAAATGAGATCAGTATCATGCACTTTCACTTGAAGAGAATTTTTATTGGTCTAATTTAAATGTAGGTTTTTTTTTTTTTTTTTAAGTATAGCATTTCTCATTTGAAAATCATCTCCTATTCCGTTTGTACATGTACAAGAAATCTAGAAGAGAACAGTCATATCCTGTGAAGATTTTGTACTGGTAATCAAAAGAAAGAATCATCGACTATCTTGCTTTGGAAGCTCCATTATCACATTTAGGCTTTGTTTGGGACGATTTTTTTATTGCTTCTTAAAACAACTTTTTAGTATAAAGAAAATTGCTTCAAGAAGCATAAAAAAGTCGTCTCAAACGAAGCCTTAGAGTATATAAAGTGACAAGCAGATGATGGGCCAAAATTTCTCATCTCCCCTCAAAAATACTAACTGAAATCTGATTTACTGATGGGGTATCCTCTAAATCAGGGCTTTTGATTGAGGGAGATTTCAGATGAGATGATTCTGATCCATGGCTTCTGCTCTGTGACGCATGGCTTTGGCTATGTGAGCTATGTGAGCCATTTATGTGGAGAAATGGAGGCTGGGTTGGTTCAGGCAGGTCGTTCAGTCTGCTTGTAAGCATGTCGACGACCTTCCACATTGGTGGCCTTAGACTGGGAGATGCCTGCACGCACAGAAGACCAATTTTGAATGCTTTGATGGCTTCTATCTCTGAGCACGTTCCTTGAAGATTAGGATCCAGCATCCTTATCAGTGTATGTGAGTTGTAGTGCTTCCATATCTATGATGAAAAATTTGAGTCTTAGTTACAAGTAGTCTGGATTTTCTATAGAAAGAAATATGACTGTAGATAAAGATATAAATTCAGCTAAATTTTGTAGTTATAGAAAAGTGTTTCAAGAAAACTATGTAATATAAGAATATAAAGACTTAAGTTTGCTTTTATAAAACTACAATTGGGTGGCTATGCTATTTAAGGCTTCGTTTGGGATGACTTTCTTACTACTTCTTGAAGCAGTTTTTTAGTATAAAAAATATTTTTTTTTACTAGAAAGCTGCTTCAAAAAGCAGTAAGAAAGCCATCCCAAACGAAGCCTAAATCTATGTATTGGATAAAAAAAGCCTTAAAATCAAGTTGAGCATCAATTTGTAATTTAAGTTGAAATTATAGATTATGAAACATTCATATAAGCGAGATACAGGAGCATAGGGGTGTAAGTGAGCCAAGTCAGCTCGTGAGCTAGCTCGAGCTCGACTCGTTAACGAGCTCGCGAGTCGAGCTTATCGAGCCACGAGCTCGAGCTCAAACTAGAGCTCGTTTGATAAAAGAGCTAGAGTTCAAGCTTGACGAGGCTCGGCTCGTGAGCTCGCGAGCCGCGGCTCGTGAGCTCGGGAGCCGGCTCGAAACTATTATATTTTGGGTATTTTAAAGAAACTAATGGCATCCAACTTATAATATGGAATTCAAATGTTACTTTTAATGTCAAATGGTTGCTTTTAATGCTAATTTATATAATTTTGTTGCCTCTTTTCAAGTGAAGACAACTTTTTATTAATGCAAAGTGTCCTTTGCAGCTTTTCATGATGACAACTTTTTAAGATGACAGCCATTCAGAAATAGAGCGGCTATTGACGAGCTCGCTTTCCGAGTAAAGAGCTAAGCTCGATAATGCTAAAACTCGACTCGTTTACACCGAGCATCTATTGAAGAGTCATGATTGGGATATGTATAGTTGAAAATAGAAGATGCACATGAGATGATAGAAATAATATGGACCTAAAAGAAGAAATAGGAAGACAAGAGATAATACAACTAGAATCAAAATTTGCATAAATAAAAAACCTACACAAAATGGAGTCAATGCCTCATATAGCACTATTCAAAAGGCTCATAAAGTTCATCCAAATAGTTCAGCTAAGGATAACGATACCAAATAATAAGTAGAGTTGAAGGTTAGCTCTACCTGTTGAGTTAAAGAATGACCTTCTGCTGATATCGAGCTTTGATTTTTACAACCTGTAAGGATTTCAAGAACAACGACACCATAGCTGTAGATGTCGGCCTTCTCCGTTAGCTGCCCATGCATAATATATTCAGGAGCCATATAGCCACTGCAAGCATTGATCAGTTCCAGAGAAGTCAAGCGTTATAATATGCACTTGAAAACAGGCAGAAACTTATATGCTTAATCTTTTAGGTTGTTTTTTTTTTGGGCAATGAGCAATACTTGAGGCAGTGGGGGTGGAGTATGTTACAAGCGAAAAACCAAGGCTTCGTTTGAGATGAATTTCTTTATGCTTCTTAAAGCAGCTTTTTAGTATAAAAATTTTATTTTTTTACTAAAAAACTGTTTTATGAAGCAGTAAGAAAGCCGCTCCAAACGGAGCGTAATCCTCAACAAAGATTAAGACCTGGATATCTTGAAGCTAAATTTTTTCCCTCGGAATAAACAGATATTCATGGTCTAATCACTGAGCTTTAAGCTTAGTTGGGTTGCTTTATAGTACAAAACATAAATAAAACTGCAATTGCAAAAAATAAAAAGAAAAGGGGCTTGCATGGCTTACAAAGTTCCTGCTATGCCAGTACTGAGATGGCTTTGATCCTCAGCAAAGTACCTCGCCAATCCAAAATCTGAGATCTTAGGCCTGAACTTATCATCCAACAATATGTTGCTGGCTTTGATGTCCCTATGAATGATTCTAACAGCTGAAGCACTGTGCAGATAAGCTAAGCCTTCTGCAGTGCCAACAATTATATTGAATCTTCTTTCCCAATCTAGTGAAGTTCTCATGAATGAATCTGGAAACATAAAGAGGACAGTAAAATCCAGTAAGAATCAGTACTTTTCTTTCATTTGATGTTTCCAAATATTGGTTTTTCTTACCGAATAAATAGCGGTCAAGGCTAGTGTTGCTAAGAAACTCGAAAACAACAAGGCTTTCAGGTCCTTCAACGCTGCAACCCAGAAGCTTTACAAGGTTCTTGTGATGCACTTGGTTAATGAGAGTGACTTCACTAAAGAATTGATCAACCCAATTGGTTGTGTTGAAGAAAAGCCTCTTCACAGCTATTTCCTTCCCATCTGGCAGAATGCCCTGCTTGTGCAAAGCTCACACATCACTCTATATGTCCAAAGCAATTCATAAACTTGGCATTGAAGGGTTTTATTAATGTTACTAATGTAAGCATGGAATGCCATTTTCGTATCATCGGTTCAATCAAAACGCGCGTCTATGGGAAGAATTGTGGAGATTCAGAAGATAGATATTTGATGATGTGGTACACGTTACCAAGGGGAGTAGCATACCTTTTCCTAACTGCCAGTTCGCTCTCCACTATCATTTTTACTATTTTCCGTTTTATAGTACTATTACACATGGTAGCTTGTTTTTACTATTATAGAAAGAAGTATTATACATATAGGGAGAGGAGGAAAATGTGAGTAGACAACTTTTATACTATCTGAATACAGAAACATAGCTTTCTTCTACACAGAACCGGAGTTCTGTTTTGTTCTCTTTGCCGCTTCTTCTTGCAGGTCCTGTAGCAGTTCGATCGGTGCAAAGGTTTGCATTATTTGAGAAGTGCAACTTTCATGAACAAAAAAAGGTTTCTTCTATTACTTGATTCAATTTTTATGACGGACAAAATATCATAGAATGATAAACATTGAAAGATTTCATCAAATTGTTCGGTGTAATTCAAAATCAAAATAAATGTTTATGATATATGAATTCTTTAAATGTTTAGAGTTCATTTTTTTTCATTTTCTCAATTTTTTTCTCCTTCAATTTCATTACTTGGTGATAGCGTTTAACTAAAGGAAAAATAAATTTAATTATTATCAGATATTTATTGAATTTCCTCAATTTAATTAAGTAACAAACGACACGCCATTTGCTTACTACCACATATACAATAGAAACTAGAAATAAAGAAGTAATAATTATCTGCTTCTACACTATAAATAGATTATAGAAGGGAAGCAACAGTGGTTGGGAGGTCCATAGCGGGCAAAATTATGTCCAGACGTTGTTCAAAGACCAATAAAAATGTATCACATCACCTCAAAAGTGTAACACGCTCAAGTACGGTACTGAATGGTTCTCCCGTACGGTATCCCCACAGAATAATCTCTCCCACAACGGCCAAGTAATATTTTTTTATTAATAGCAAGATAACTCTTGATTAGAATGTACCTTATAAACTGCGCCATATCCGCCTTGACCGAGCTTGTTGTGCTGACTAAAATTGTTTGTTGCCTTGCTCAAATCCTCATATTTGTAACTTAAACGAGATTTTGAGATGGATTTAATAATCTCACGATTACCAGCCTCATCACCTGTATCAATAACACAATTTATAACAAATAATTATCAACTATCAATCCACCCCTTCAAACTAAGGTTTCGTTTGGGACGACTTTTTTAGTGCTTCGTAAAGTAGCTTTTCGTAAAAAAATAAAAAAATTTACTAAAAAATTGCTTTAAGAAGCGGTAAGAAAATCATCCCAAACCAAACCTATATAACTTAACAAGCTAAATGCTTGCTTCTCTTCAAATTGCCATTACCTCTTCCATAACCAGATGCGGATCTTCTCATCCTCCACAAGAGAAATAACCCAGCAACCACCAGCGACCCCAAAACAGTTGTCACGGCAATAATTACTTTACGGTGAGCTGCAGTAATCAAAATTCCCAATCCATGAATATCCACAGAAAGAAGTAATCATGGAGGAAAAGTTGCCATATGTTCCCAATAAAAAGAAAAATAAATGAAAAGCAAAGAACGAAAGTAACTCTACCAGAAGAACTCCCACTACCGTTGCCTTCCCCTCCTGCCCCATTGGTCAAATAGAACGGCTCCGTAGAGTACCTTACGAAGCATCCGGCGTTCATGGCCTTGGCTTCGTCGGCAGGTAAACACCGGCCGACGATGTCCTGTCTCCCTTTCTCCAAACATTCTTTGCAACCACTAACATTCAATGACCTCCAACACTGCGCCATCCCATAAGCCGTCACATCCGGCGACACCTGGACGCTTCCGACCATGTAATAGCTGTTCTCATAGGCCCCCGCCGTCAAATTCCCGACGAGCTCCGCCGTCAGTGTTGAGAATCGCGTTTGAAGCGGTTCAGCAACGGTTGTGTTGCTGCAGTTGAAGGCATCGGCGGAGTCCACTGAATGAGTGGAGACATTGCGATCTGCGTATTCGAGGAAGCAGCCATCGAGATAGATGCGACCGGCGGTGGCGGGCAGACAGTGGGGAAGTTTGACCCTGCTCTGGGAGTAACAGAGCTGGCAGTTTACATGGGACAGGTATGAGAAACACTGGCCAAGGCCGAATACGGTTAGTGCTGAGCCGGAGGCGGAAGTAGCGAAGCCGGCGACAGTGATGTTCTGGTAGATCTTCTCCATGGCGTCGACGAAGTTGACGTCGAAGGCTTCGGCATTTTGGCTTTGGTTTTGGCCGCAGACGGAGAGGAATATGGCTGGCGAAGGGTTGTTGGCGGCGGTGGGTGAAAGGTAGGAGAGGAGGATGGGTAGGAAAAGCAGAGAGATAACCATTTGTGGGTTTAGGAATGCTTTTGAGTTTGATAGTCCTCTACAGTTTGGGGTTTTTAGATACGCAGAGGGAAAGGCGTTTCTGTTTTTGGTTTTAATTTGACATTTGCGGCTCATTTTAACAAATAATGCTGATTAAGATTTGCATGATTTTTTTATTGCTTCTTTTAATTAAATTTTTAATATAAAAATTATAATGATTTTATAAAATAGTAAATAAGACGTCTTGAAATTTTTTTATTACTTCTTAAAATAAAATTTTCAGCATAAAATTAATTTTTTTATAATAAAAATTTATTGTCATCGTAAATAAAATTTATGAAATCTTCACGAAGCTATAAATTTATGAAAAAAAAATGAAGAATTTATGAAATCTTTATCCTCTTTATATGTCAAATATTTAAAATTTAATATCTGTTTATATAATATTTATCAATAAATTAATATTAAAATCTGTGTATTAACAAATATTTTAATAATGATTTAAAATTTTAAATATTATTAACATATATATTAAATATTAAATATATAAAATTTTGAGTTTTCAAAGAGTTGACGGGAAAAGGCAAGCGAAGAAATTTAAATGACTAGAGCGTGTGGACCTACCTTAGTCCGCGTCGCAGCCTCCTCCCTTTCGGCCCCTTATCTTTGAAACAAGTTTTAAACAATTGACCGAATTTAATAGAAAATGTTAAAGCTGCATTAATGGGAACGAGGTTTTCAAACCCCCATCGCTCTCATGTTGGAGGATTTGTTTTTTGATAAATTTATACTTAATAGTTGCTTTATACGTTGAAATCTTTAAAATAATGGCTTATGATTAATGTAAATTTACCATGCTACTTATATTTAAGTGATGTGGAGGAAGAACATTTCGAAATATTATAAAGAAGAAATATCTCATTTGTCATTGTATGAATAGTAATGAGATGTTTGTATTTCATCATATATAATGTGTGATATATCATTAAAAAATTCACTTGAGCAAGAGCAAGAATTTTGAGATAATATTTAAATGAAAATTTTCAAAATTACATTCGATTTTCTGAAGTATTTTAAAATTAGATTTCAGAGAATTTGTAGTACAATTGAACTTTTTAATGTGATATACCTAGACATAAAATTGGAGAGAGTTCAGCCATCCAACCACTGTCATCATCCAACCATCAAAATCAGATAATTGTCGATGAACTAACTTTTGATAATCGCCATAAGATCAAAGACGTTCGACCATTACTATCAGACTACCACCGCTTGACCATCTTCATTGAAACACTGCTGACTAACTACCACTATTTGATGATGACTGAGCTTGGGCATAGACTTAAAATTAGAGAGAGTTGAGCCATCACTTTATCATAATTTGAACAGTGTTGTTAAATTGCTGATATCCAACCACCAAAATTAGACAATTATCTAAGAGAATGAGTAAGGAGTTTGAGATGAGTATTAGGGGTGTCAATATTTGAAACGACCCGAAAACCCGACTCGAACCCGACCAGAAAATTTCGGGTTAGGGTCAACTCGAACCCGAAACGACCCGAACCCGAAACGGGTCGTGTTCGGGTTCAACATTTCGACCCGTTTCAAAAATCGGGTCTGGTTCGGGTTAACCCTTTGACCCGAAAGTGACCCAATTTTGACCCGCCAACCCGAGATTGACCCGATTTTGACCCAAAAAGAGGAGATTGACCCGTTTTTGACCCGAAAATTAGCAATTTTTCGGTTGAAAACGGCTCATTCGGGTCGGGTCGGGTTGACCCGGACCCGAAGCTGGTCGGGTTCGGGTCCAGGAAATCGACCCGATTTTAAAAATGGGTCGGGTTCGGGTTGACCCGAATAGTGCCGGGTCAGTTTCGGGTTCGACCCGAACCCGAACCGTGACCCGAAATTGACACCCCTAATGAGTATAATGAAGAATCGAACTATTTTCTTGGATTTAGTATAAGGCAGAAGAATGATGAAATTTTTCTTAGTCAATCAAAATATATTAAGTACATCCTTAAGAAATATGAAATGGATAAAGCAAAGTCAATTAACACTCCCATTAGCTATACAATTCAATTGGATAAGGACTCAGGTGAAAAAAAATAGTTGATCAAAAGAAATACGAGGGAATAATTGAATCACTTTTTTACTTAACTGCTAGCAGACCTGATATTATATTTAGTGTTTATCTCTATGCTAGATTTCAGACTGATCCAAAAGAATCCCACGTAACTGCTATTAAGAGAATCCTTATATATCTCTTAGGAATCCAAAATTTAGGAATATGGTATCTTAGACAACACTTCCTTTAAAATCATAAGATATTTTGATTCATACTTTGCTGGATGTATGGTGGATAAGAAAATCACTTATAAAACCTGTCAATTCATAGGACAATATTTAGTCCCTAGTCTAGTAGAAAATAGAACTTAGTAGCCTAGTCCATTGTAGAAGCTGAATATATAGCCTTAGGAAATTATGTGGTACATGTTCTTTGGTCAAAGTAACAAATTCTATATTTAAGACTATCAGTAGGCACCATTCTAATCTTATGTAATAACATTAATGTCATCTACATTTCAAAGAATCAAATCAAACACTCTAAGATCAAACACATGTATATAAGGCACCATTTTATTAGGGATCATGTATCAAAAGGAGACATTGAGCTACATCATGTAGCCGCTGAAAATCAACTTGCTGACATCTTTACAAAACTATTGGCTTTTGAAACATTCAGCACCTTTAGAACCAGATTAGGTGTTATAGAAATTCATGCTTGAAAAAGAATGCTTTGAAAATATGAAATCTGATTAATGTATTTTTTAGTTTATCATAAAAAATTTTTATGCATGTGTTTTTATTTTTTTAGAATTTAAGAATATGATCTCTACTCACTTCAATAGTTGAACTCTTCTTTAAATGAAAATCTTACATATTATTATAAACAGTGATTAACTCCTCTAAAATAGATAAGGAAGAAATTGAAAATTATATCTCTTCCTCTAACTCCTTTAGGGGTATAATTTCTTTTTAAATCAAAATCTATTTCTAATTAAAAATTAGACCAAGATAAATAGATTTGTTTCATCTTCATATAGCTTTATATATCATTTTAATATTTTTGCAAACCAATGAACTTATTTCAGATTTTCTTAATTAAGTTGTTTGTCTATATCAGATGGATAAGGTTTTAGTTTATGATTTACTTTTCCTTATATAAGAGAGTGAGTTCTTCTTCTCTCATATTTGAAAGATAATATCATAATTGAGAGTTTTTTAAGACTTAAAATGGAAGCAAGTTTGAAAAAGTGAAAAAGAGGCATAAAATGAGTCCAAAAGCTAAAAAATGGAAAAAACCACGAGGCCTAGTCTAGTTTGAATGAATCCAATAGTATTTGCAGTTGATTATAAATGAGGCCCTTCATTGGGGGGAAGGCCTTGCCTTGATATAACAAATATACATCATATAGAGTGTGTTACATTGTGGAAATATAAAGAATCACTGTTTACGTATTCGTGGCAATGGAGGTTGGAAGGACCGTAGTCGGTGGGCGTCGGAGATCAGAATGATCGTTGTTTGGTGACGGAGGTCGGAAGGACTGTAGTCGGTAGGTAACAGAGGTCATAAAAACCTTTGTCTGGCAACGAAGGTAGGAAGGAACATAGTCGGCGAGCGATGGAGGTCGGAAGGACAGTAGTCGATGGGCGATGGAGATTGTAAAGACCGTTATCTGACGATGGTGGTCACAAGGACAATAGTCAGTGATGGAGGTCAGAAGGATGACGTCGAGTAGAAGTCCGATGATGGACATAAGTTTGGCACCGAATAGAAGTCAAATGAAAGTCCGAAGACTGACAGAATTTTGACATCAGGTAGAAGATCGGCGTTGGGTGGAAGTCTGATGTCAGATAGAAATTCGATGATGGGTGGAAGTCTGGCGTCGGGTAGAAATTTTGCAACCGATGGAAGTCTGACGATGGGCAAAAGTCTGACACCGGGTAGAAATCCGGTGACGGGCGGGAGTCTGTAAGGTAGAAATCTGACGACAGGCAGAAGTTCGATCGACGTCGGGTAGAAATCCGGTGATGAGAAAAAGTTTGGCGTTAGGTAGAAGTCCGATGAAATTTTAGCGATGGGCGGAAGTCCGGCGTTGGGTAGAATTCCAGCGACGGGCGAAAGTCTGACGTCGGGTAGAAATCCAGCGACAGGCGGAACCGGCGTCAGTTGGAGATCGGGCAGAACTCCGGTGTCGGTCGACTGCCGTATGGAAGTCCAACAATTCCATCGATAGTGGTCGAGGAGTCTCTTTATTATCTTCATTTTCTTCCTTTCTTCTTGCTTGGACATTCCTCTTCCCCCACATTGGTGGTCTCCTTCTATGAGAAATGAGGGGTCTATTTATAATTTTTTAAGAGTGGCATGACCAGTAAATATGAAGAAGATCAAGGGTAAATTGTGAACGATTTTGTGGACGTCCAATGTTGAATCCCTTGATTGTAGATAGTTTATTGGACATTTGAAGACCATTTTGACACTAAAATTTGGCGATCTTGGGCTCGTTGGATTCGTCACGATGAGCTTGATTTAAGTATAAGCATGTCACATATGGAAACTATTTAGTTATCCAAATTATGGATTGAACCTTCCAAATGCTCGTCGGTTCTTTGATTTGGACTCATTTGAGCTTGGATTGAGTAGAATTTGGCGTCGTTGGGTTCATATTTCCGAGACGTTTAGTTTGAATATAAGTTTGCTAAAATCGGAGTTCATATGGCCTCCAATTTAATTTTTAAAGTTTCCAACTTGATTTTGCCTCGAGATTCGTGCCCGATCAAGATAATTTTTTGATGATATATCAATTATTTATGTGCAAAATAAGCAAAATAAAAGAGAAATCGATGAATGCCTAGAGTTGTGAGCATTTTGGAATTGCCAATTTCTTCTTTCTCCGCTTATTTCTAGAATTTTCAATAAGCTCAAACTTGCCTAACTAATTATATATCCATATTAATTCTCTCTCTTTTTTTATTTTATTTTATTTTTTTTTTTATTTTTTTTA